TGGAACTCTACGAAGGTTATTAATGTTTATTGTGTAGTAGTACTAGTAACGTAGTAGTAATAGTAGTAGTAGTAGTAGTAGTAGTAGTAGTAGTAGTAGTAGTCGTAAGTAGTAGTCGTAAGTAGTAGTCGTAGTAGTAGTCGTAGTAGTAGTAGTAGTAGTAGTCGTAGTCGTAGTCGTAAGTAGTAGTAAGTAGTCGTAAGTAGTAGTAAGTAGTAGTAACCAGTCGTAATTAGCAGTAATTGGCAGTAGTCCTAGGTAATGAAACATGTCTGAGCTTGACAATATTAGTCTTCAAGTCCCAGTCTCTGAACCCCACCCCCACGCCCACAAAGCCACTCTAGGGCATCGGCTGCGGCGCGGCACTGGGAGCTTCCACCGCCGTCACCGCGGACCTCGCCTGCACGCCACACGAGTTGGTCGTTGGGGCGGAACCTCGCTACAGCCCCTAGCTATACATACCTAAATAAACCGAATGTATATCAATAAATGCATGAATGTGCAAGTATGTGTGGGTGTGCATGTGCATGTGCATGTGTGTGTGTGTGTGCGCGGTGCGAGAGAGAGAGAGAGAGAGAACTAACTAGGTCCAATCGTGGTGATGCAGGATAGCAGGGTAGTCCAAGAAACAATTCAAACTGGAACGGAAACGGTTCAGCACCCAGTTTTGGGTTCGTACTCTTTTGAAAACTCTCCCCGCCCACCTCACATCAGCAAATTTGGATGTGAATCCAAGCCCCTCACTTCTTAGTCGAATCAAACCTGATATGACACCCCAACCTCGGCCCCTCACAACAACGACATCTCCACATCCCCCTGACCTAATCTTTCTATCTCTCTCTCTCTCTCTACCGGCATGCGGATGCGGGCGAAGCCGGTTCCGGGTCCGATGGTCCCAAGTGCATACGCCAAACTGAAGCCAAACAAACAAGCCGGTAACAAGCCTGGATAGCTGAAGCTATACGCCTATCCTTCCTTGCCACCCCGAAGACATGTGGCCGTCTGGGTGCGTTGCTACTCCTTGGGAAATCGAGGCTCCGGCAGTGCCAGGGCAACAGCGCTCGAAGGTGAACATACCATCCTTTCGCGAAGCTTTCATGAAGGCTTCCGTCAGGGAGGTCTTCTGTTCCGGAGGTGTGAGACTGTATGTAGGAATGTGCAGGATTTCAAGAGGCCAGTAGTGGAGGAAGGAGGAATGGAGGCACCTTGGAGCATGGACTTGAGAACCTAGCACGTTGGCTTGAGCTTTCCGGCCTCGGACGTTTCTGATATCACATGCGTTGCCGTTTCGGATGTAACTCCACGTGCTCCAAGATTTGCCCTGAACTCAGCATTGCTCGGCGAGTGCATGCTACACTGAGGCGTCGTCCCAGCAGCTGGGATTTCCGCTCAGCCTCGGAACCGAGGTTTAAAAACTGATGTAACATGATATTGTATTATAAAAATAACGTGGTATAACATAACATAATATACCACAGTCTAATAGAGTACGCTGGCATATGATGCAGACGTAGGTCGAGGGCTTGTTTGGGTTTCGACCCCCATCCCTTGTCGAAGCAGGCGATGTGAGAACCCCTCTTGGGTTTAGCTTGAGGGCCACTTGGCACAACGTCCTTTGTAAATTACTCCTGGGTTGGTCCTTTAAAGCGCTACAAAAACATCTTCGTAAAATAAGATCCTCTTAGGCAAACATAAGGGTAAAGATAGAATGACCCAAAGGCCTACGGGACCCACAAGAGCCCTGAGGGTCTTCAGGCATCCCGGCACTACTCGGCTTGGTCTCCCGACCCATACCGGCGGGTGTTGCAGCAGTCTTCCGCCATGCCACCCCAGTGCGAGCCTTCCACGATGCGTATTAGATGGATTGCTTGGACCGCCAAAAGGCCAAGGATACGCCTGTCCGAAAACAACAATTTTTTTGGAAGCAATGTGTTGCCGAAGTATCAACGACCCACGTCAAGACGCAGGAGGTGACAAGTCTCTACTTCCAGGACCCGCATGGCAGCGACGCAAAGCCAAAACAGGTGCCAAACCCGAACCCTGCGGATTTGTCTGGGCCCGCCTGCCGGAAAGCACTCCGTCTGTTGCATCTCAAGCGGGTCCTCAACGGTTTGTTCGACCAGTCGGGTCGAGAGAGAGAGAGAGAGAGAGAGAGAGAGAGGAAGAGGGACAAAGAGAGAAAAAGAAACATAGATGAACAGACCGATAGTTCGGTTGATTATATTGTAAAGAGCACGTGCACCTCTAGGTTAAGTGATGCTACGATGCTAAGTGTCTTGTGATGCTTACTGCAAAGGGAGGTTGAGGATCCAGGATCACTCGCAGAATGTGGGACAGCCGTAAGGTTTGCGAGTTCGAGAATTGCCGGATTACAGGATATTCGAGAAATTTCGGGAAGCCTGAGAGAGGCTGCGACGAATGTCAGAGGATTGCACGATGCCAACTCAAAAGCACATAAACCAATATAACATAACATAACATGCTAGAATAGAATTGGAATGCTTCATGTATAGATTTCTTCCAGAGCGTCAGCAGGGCGGATCGTTCGTTCGCAAGCTCTGGGACCCAGAAAAACCGTTGCGGAACCTCAATGAGCAGACTCTGGGCATGACAAGGGAGTGCAGCTATTTTGCAAGCCTTGGTTCTGTTGGCCATGGTATTCTTCAGAACAGAGCACTGGGTGGCATGATGAATGTACACGCTTGGTCTGCCTCACTTTGAGGTCAACAGCTCTGTAAGTGCAAACCGAAACCTTGCCCTAAAATGACCTAAAAAGGGGCAGGTGCACCATCCAGTCCTCTCCGAGACCTCGGCACGGGCAAGCAGTCCGCAGGGCTTCAATTAGGGCTTAGGGTGTCGGCGGCGGTTTGGGGTTTTCGGGCTACAGGGGTTTCGGATGTCAGGCTCACAGTGCGTGTTCACAAAGACGTGAGCCGGATGTGGCGAAAGCTTGCCGTTTTCAATTCCTCTCCCAGCCATGTCCAGCCAGTGTCGCGTTGGCGAAACTGAGTGCATTCGGGACGGGAGGCAGTCATTAACTGCCCGTGCTTGAAGCTTTGGCATCGGCAAATATCACTCGAGGGCTGCTCTAAGCCGGAATATGTTTACAGTGTCAAGGACAACAAAGTCACTTGGAGCAGCCCTGCAGGTACGTGTCAGGCTGCACAGACGCAAATGTCTCCTACGCAGCCTCCGTCCTACAGCCCCTGAGCACGGAGAAGGACAAGAGGAATCCTCGGGGGTCTTCTTCTCAGACCACTTCCTTCAGGTATTTGCCCTGCTGATCCATGAGCTGCTGAAACGCGATCTTGGCAGCCTCCCTGCAATGCGCATTCCTAGCGATTTGGCGGGGAAAGATCCGAAACTCTTAGTTTCATTCATTATCAAGACATCTAAGCCTTTTTTGACATCCCTGTCCCTGTCTGGCTTATAATTAGAAGCTTCTATTACATCGGTCGAGAGATTGTACGCAGTAGCTCGCTTCGCTGTCGAGTTGATACATTTGCTATGCAACATGTTGACTACAAATTTTGCGTCTGCTGGCTTGTAGGATCTTTGCAGATTAGCGTCTTGTCCGGGTGCAACTTGCGCTGCAGTTCTCGGAACACTTTTCGTCGGACAGCCACGGGCTCGTTGTGGCTGGCTGCCAGCGTGTCCTTCAAAACTTAGGCGGGTTTGGTGATAGTATTCTCCTTCTCCTACGAAGGATGCATGTCGAGGATCGTTTATTTCCAGGTTTCCAGCACGTGCCAAGGTGCCTTCACCGTGGACTGGGCTTTTGCCAGGATAAACTGATAAAGAGGCTAGAAAGCGATACGGTGCGGCCTCCGATGATCTCACTTTGCCTTGTATGAAGTTGACGTAAGACATCCCTCGAAAACCATGGAACTCTTCCCTGAATCTCTAAGCCCGGAACCTGCTAATTCCACGTGAAAAGTCTGGGAAAAGACTTCTTGCAGTCTTAAAGCCCTAAACTCCTTAAGCCCAAACCCTAGACTCCACACCGCAAGCCAAAAACCAGAGCCCTAAATGTGCCTTCATCACTGCCAGCAGCCTCTCAGTCTGCCTGGGCTTCAGGGGTTTGAAGGCGAGTTCTGTCTGACGGGAAGGGCAGGGTGAGCGGTGTAGGGGGGCTGACCTTTGACCTGTTGAAGCCTCCAGGTGCTTCTCCCTCCTGTCCAGTAGCCCTTCGATTTCGCGCATTATAATCTGTAGGTTCCTACATGGGTTCCGGTATATCCGGAGATGCTCGCCGTACTCACTGAGCATCCCGAGGCTCTTCGCTAGCATCCCGAAGCTCTTATTAAATAACCCTAAAACCTAAACCATAAAACCTAAAAGCCCTGGGTTCAATCTCGAGGGTTTGCAAAACCGCAAAGCCCCATCAGCTGAAGTTTCCGCATCTTTCTCTTTGGATCCGGCTCTCCCGCATCAAAGCAAAAAAGGAATCCCTAAGAACAGGGCAAGGATCCATTCATTTCCTACCTTTGTCTACCCAAGCACCCAAAAGTCCGGAAACATGATGCAACGCCAAAAAGAAGACGCCCGAGCAAAGACGAAATCGTGTGCTTGCCAGCTGGGGGGGGGTTCAAGCATCACACGAAATGAGAATCAGGATCACCATCATCGCCCACAGAACAATCGTCGTCGTCTTCGTCATCGCCATCGTCATCGTCATCAGCTTCACATGATCACCACCTATCGTCGCCATGATTGCGCGATCGTCGTGGCCATTGCCACCGTCACCATCACCAGCAGCACCTGCATCAGTGTCCTCGATAACTCTGGTCACCATCACTGCCATCATCTTCGTCATCGTCATCATCTTCTGCTTCATCATCAGCTGTCGGGATGCATCACTACATAAAAGTGTAAGGAAAAGAAGCTCTGTAATCGCTTCCACCTTTTTTTTATTCAAACGCCGTAACAATAAACACACATTGGAGCCAATCATCTTGAAATCTTTCCTGCCCTTGAAAAGCTATTGCTCCAAATACCCTTAGAGCACAGAAAGAGCAAAAGCAAGAGCAGGAGATAGAGATAGAGCAAGAGAAAAACCAAAAGCGCAGCATGCAGCAAGAGCAAAGCAAAAAAAAAGAGCGGGAGCAAGAGCAAGAGCAGGAGCAACGGCAAAAGCACGCGCAAGAGACGCAGCAGAAGCAGGAGCAAAAGCCAGCGCGGAAGCAAGAGCCACAGCAGGAGCAAGAGCACGACCGCTCAAAAGTGGCAGTAGAGATCACAATACCCCCTAATAATAAACATACTTTCCGAATTTTTATTGGGGGGTTGGGGGGTGCCGTTTAATACTAGGGAGAAGGGATTAATCACGTGCAAATAGCGAGTCATGTTTGCGCCCATGTAGCTGCAGCAGATACTCTCATCCGAACCCTTCTTTACACAGGCTTGATGGGAGCTCGCCCGCCCGAGTCCCCTCGCAGCACATCGCACTCGTGGCGAGATGCGCCAGACTAAGTATGCACAATCCTCACTATTTTTCGAGCCATTCTGTCGGATACGCTGCGCCCTCAAACCAGTAGCAACTGCAACGCACTGTAACTAGTTTAGCGCAGGGATGCGCTTCCAGGAACTTCTCGTCGTCGCCGTCGAAGGCAGTCACTGCATCCCTGCCCCGCCAAAGCCTGACACTCAAACGACGCGGGAATGGGGACGCGAGTGGTTACAATGAAGTCCCGTCATATTCGTGTCCTGACTGTCAAAATGATGCGATGGAGTTGATACGTGAGAAAGGAATTTTGATCTTGAAGCAAAACAGTACGACAGTAGCCTGCCTCCTCAAGGGGGAACTGCTTGAGAAAAGCCCCAGACCGAAATTTCCAGAAAATCCTGCACAAGCCCCGCTCTCTGTACAGACTTTGAGGATCAGGCGAGGACATCTTGGAGCGAAAATGAGCCATCATCCGGCCCAAAGGCGACGTCTTCGACTTTTTCGGATGGGTTTGTGGCACACTCGGTGCTGCTTTTGCGGCTTCCTTGGAGACAGAGGCAAGAGCTTGCAAGTTTCAACAACATCGTCCAGCATCCTTCAGAACAAGGTTCTCTTCCGTCGTGCTTGTCTTCCAAAGATTGAAGTCGAAAGGTCTGTCATGTGTGTGAAGAAACGGCCGAATGAGTAAGTTTGCAGGTATTTACAGAAGCTTACAGAAGTAGTGAATTCGAGGCTAGCGAAATTCGGAGTGGAGCAGTTGAAAGATCTGAATGTATGCAGGTGCAAACATTTGAACGCCCTCTCCAGATACAGGTGTAGCTTTGCTTTAAAAATAGAAGCATGCCTACAAGTACCGGCATAAGCATCAGCAACCAAACGTAATAAACTTCAAACACAACTGTAAATACAAGACAAGAAGAACAACAAAAAATATTGGCAGATGTGTTTTTGCGTGTATTCATACAGGTTACAAGTATACATACATACATACATACATACATGCATACATACATGCATACATGCATTTATACATGCATCTCATGAGTACATGCATATATACATGCATACATACCTTACGCTACCATGCACATTAAATTACATTCCAATATGGAACCGTGTAGCTTTGTCTGTATACCTACATGCAGAACTACATGTACAGGTGTTCCCAAAACCCTTTTTTATACATGCTTGATTGGAGCTCGCCCGGTCTAAACCCTAAGCAGAGGCTCTCGGAGGCGGCTGGCTGAGCTCCTCCTGCTCTCTCGCGCTCGCTGCCGTTCCTGTCGTAGTGTCTCCGCCTTTCGCAGCAGACTATCTTCGGGGTTTGCTTTGAAGATGTAGGGATTAGGGAGTTTAAGGTTTCTGCATCAGGATTCGCTTTGGCACCCAAGAATCCGAAAGCCACATCAGTGCATCGAAAGAGCAAGCGTCTTGGATAAATATAGTTAGTTCTGGAGAGGCACAACACAGCGACTGTGCCAGTCCTCCATGTCCCTCTGCTGTCGGAGGTTCTCCTCTTGCTGTCGCTGGAACTCCTGCGTTTCCATGAAGCGGGATGTCGGTGGGTGGCCCGCAAGGTGTCCGTTGACAACGTTTGACGCAGGACTCGAACTGGCTGGACATCCTTGCTTCTAAGATGTCTGTGACTCCCCAATTCTGCCAAGCTCCTGCAGTATCTCCCGCTGCTGCTTCTGCGAGAAGGGCGGCGGCTGCGTCTGAGCTGGCTGTGTAACCTGCATGAAAAGTCTCAAATGACCCTCATGAACGCTGGGCTTCTGCACAACACTTGCGACTCAAGTCTAATGCCCCCTTTTTCCCGAAACCCCAAACCCCTGAAGTTGTCCTGCGGCCCTTCCATGTACCTCCTCCTCACGGCTCTTGAGAAGCCGAGGAGACGGCTCGTCTCGCTCGTACCTGATCTCGGGCAGCATCGAATCATAAAGAACGCGAGAAAAGCATTCAAGCCTGGACTATCTACAATACAATCGTAAAATCAACTGTATATCTGCCATATACTCTGTCTCCCGCTCCCTAAATCCAGATACATAGACTTACGGTACGTACCTATCTGTATGTGTATGTACATATGTATGTATGTATATATATACACACACACACAGAGAGTGTGTGTGTGTGCCATGGCAAAAGTCGTTGTGCGTGGACGTTTTCTGAATGGAGACGAGCCAGAGAGGTGACAAGACCCGTGCTCGAAGACATCGCAGACCCGGAGCTTTCCCACTTACCTTTTCGTACCCAGGTCCCAGGACTCGTGAATCTTATAAGTCACGAAGAACCCTAAATCCTAAGCCCTAAACCCCTAGAAAACTCCAACCCAGCCACTCTTCTCAGGAGACTCTGTGGGGCCTAAATCCGATAAGGGTTTGTGCAAGAGCTTAGAGTTTAGAGGGTTGCGGGCATTTAGGGGTTTACAGAGGGTTTTAGGGTTTAGGGTTCGGTTTTTCTCGAAACCGTCCCGCCTGTCGAGTTTGGCTTGCATCTCTCGAAAGACTTCTTGCTGCCAGGCCTGCGGCTCTTGGCGCATCGGGATTTCTCAAGTATTGGGCTGGTAGTTCAGAGGTCCAGGGTCTTGAGATTCGGGAACCTTATAAGTAGGGGAACTGGGGGTCCTTGCAGTAAGAGGGGTTGGGCGGGTTGCGGATCCAAAATTGCCAACTAGCCAGCCCGGTGCTACTCCGAAGCCACAGCAGGTCAGAGCAGGGGTTTAATAACGCACTGCACTGGGTTTCCTAGTATACAGAGGATTGAAGAATCCCACGGAAAAATATTGCCCAGTCTTCAGGCCCTATAGAAAAACGAGTTTCTTGCATGCTCCTGAGCTGCTTGGGCTGGTACTGGGGATCAGGGCTGGGCTGACATCCCAGGTGTCACTGAAGCGGCTGAGGCAGAAAGGAAGATAGTCAGTCATCTTCAACACTTCCATCGTGAGTATGAAACAGGAAGTTGACAATCAATTAACTCACCCACTTCCTGCCTAAAAATGGCTGGAAGGGCTGTGCCACCCAGCTTTCGGTCAGTAATAGCAGCTCATGGAGGACACAGAGGTCTGGCGCTCGACTCGGACCATCGGAAGGGTGGTTGGAACATAGCTTGTTAATCACCAGCATAGGCTTTGGAGGGGGTATACTTGTTTTAAGTTGAAGTTTTATGTACTGCTTTGCTGCTGGGGGCGCCTGGTGTAACTTGGCAGATTGCCTGATTTCCCTCAGGCGCAGGTGCGCTGACCGCGGCGATTCTCGGAGGTGGGCATCCTTGGCTGGGGGTTTGGGGCTGTAGGGTTTAGGGCTTTAGGACCGTAGGGCTTCGGCGCTCACACTCGGACAATCCGGGCGAGGCATGTGTTTCGAGGTCTGAAACGTGAAACTACTGTCTTCACAGACACGGCGTCCATCACTCGTGGGAAAGGTGTCACAACCAGACCCCTCATAGACGTGGTAGGAACCTGCCAAAAGGTCTCTCCCTTCCCACTGAAATCCTGTGTTCTGGACTGGCTAGTTCCGGAGGAAGGAAGCTACCAGTCTACTTTGGATCACACTTTTTGTCAACCAGCGACGTGTCCGCAGGCGGCCTCACGCCCGGCCGCGCTAAGCGGCTTCCAGGACAATGAGCCGAGAGGAGAAACCGGCGTATATTCGACTACAAAAGTTCCCTGATCCCTTCTGAAAGCCCTAAATATTCATGTATGTATTTGTTTATATGTATATGTACATATATATGTATATATATATATACACACACACATACATACATACATACATACATACATACATACATACATACATATATATACAATGCATAAATACACACACACACATATATATATATATGCATGCAAAATGGGGCCCTGAGGGCGACGCTTTCTGATATATTAAATCTCATTATATTTTATTGTAATACTATACTATATTAAATTTCTTGTTATAATATATCGATTATATTATGTTAGATTACATTATACAATTTTATATTATATTACATTTTATTATATTGAAATATTATACTCTATTATAGTATATTATACT